CTATCTATCTATCTATCTATCTATCTATCTATCTATCTATCTATCTATCTATCATCTACTTATGTGGCATTTAGTTATTTTTATGTTAGTTTGATAACATACCATGACCAAAATCAACGAATGGAAGAGAGTTTAGTCTGGCTTACAGTTCCAGAAGGATAAGAGTTTGTGGTAGGGGGAGCATGGTGGGAGTCAGCTGGAGCAGGAAGCCAAGAGATGACACATTCAAAGGCAAACCTGAAGCAGAGAGAGTGAGCTGACTGTGAGGTGAGGTTAGGAACTCTCAAAGCCTGTCCCCCAGTGCTGTGCTTCCCTGATTCGCCCAGCCCTCATGCTACATCTTTAGAGAAGGCCTGGCACCTGGATGGGAGGTAAGGAGTCTCTGCAGGGACATAAGAAAGACTGAACTAGGACACATAGGCAAGGTCAGAGCTAAGAGATGGGGCGGAAATGGCAAAATTAGGAGGTAGCACTGAAATCCTTAATGATTTGGTTGCTTGTGAAAACCAAGCATCCAACCAACCAACCAACCAACCAACCAACCAACCAACCAACCAACCCCAACCAACCAACCAATCCACCCCAACGAAACCCCACCCCAACCAACCAACCAACCAACCAACCAACCAACCAACCAACCAACCAACCAACTAACCAACTAACCAATCAACTAACCAATCAACCAACCAACCAATTAAAATACTTAAGTAGTTTAGGGAGCCCAGAGGTGGGTGAGGAGTCTGGCCATAGATTATCTGCTTACTGTTAATCTTCCCCATCTCTCTCTCTCTCTAAAGATTAATGCATTTGTGTTTTGCCTGCATGCATATCTATGCGAGGGTGTCAGATTCCCTGGAGCTGGAGTTATAGATTGCCGTGTGGGTGCTGGGAATTGAACCCAGGTCCTCTAGAAGGACAGTTAGTGTTCTTAACCACTGAGCCATCTCTCCAGGCCTTCCACATTTCTTTTCAAGAGTCCTCAGAAGCAAATCTTTCCCAAGCTTTTTTGTTAAATAGGTTTTGGCTAGAAATGCCCCCGACACAGGCGTGGACTAGAACAGCACAGCTCACTAGGAGTAAATCTTTTGTAATCACTTCAGCTGTTTGTTAAGATCAAGTTTAAGGGGGGCTGCTCTCTCACAATGGATCCCAGAAGGCTTCTGTCCTTCTGTTACTTGAGAGACTGACCTGGCCAGTTGAGTGACTGTCCAGTTGAGCCATGTCCTTGTGTCTGAGACACAAGCTGATGAGGGAGTGTGGGCTGGGCAGCTGAGGTAGGCGGATTGTGTTCTTGGTTTTTGGAGACCAAGAGAGTCAGGGCATTGCTCAAGGTGTCAGGGTTCAGGAGGGTGTGCAGACAGCCCATGATGGGACAGAAGCGGGGGTCTGATAGGGGAAGAACTGGTGAACCCCATTGGTCTTGTTCCTGGACTGGGTTAGAGTTAGGGTTAGCAGTTAAAGTTGGAGTTGGGGATGGCTCTTGGGATTCCACTTTCCTTTTCTTTTCCTTTCCTTTCCTTTCCTTTCCTTTTCTTTTCTTTTCTTTTCTTTTCTTTCCTTCCTTCCTTCCTTCCTTCCTTCCTTCCTTCCTTCCTTCCTTCCCTCTCTTTCTTTCTCTCTCTCTCTCTTTCTTTATCTCTCTCCCTTTCTTTCTTTTTTATTTTCCCCCCAATTTTTTGTTTTGTTTTGTTTCGTTTTGTTTTGAGATATACATACATAACATGGATTTCTACCACTGTCTCCATTTAAAGAGGTTCTTTGGGATTGAATGCATCTCTAATGTCCAACCATCACTGCCATCCACCTCTCTTCATCTTGTAACACTGAAACTCTCACCCTGTAAAACTCCCTGCCCCCCGCAGCCTGGCAACCACCATTCTGCTTCCTGCGTCTGTGAGCCTTAGTACTGTGGGTACTTCATGTAAGTGGACTCCTATACAATTTAACTTCTGGAGACTGGCCTATTTCAGTGAGCATAATATCTTTAATGCCCATATTGTAGTGGGCATTAGCATTTGTGTAAGTGCGTGTGTGTGTGTGTGTGTGTGTGTGTGTGTGTGTATGCATGGGTGGCTATACACATGTGTACATATGGAGGCCAGAGGTTGACCTAGGGTATCTTTCTCAGTTCTCTCTACCTTTTAAAAAGATACGTATTTACTTATTCTGTGTGTGCATGTTCCTGAGTGTGTGTGTGTCTGCCACATGTAAGCAGGAGCCCTGGGGGTCAGTAGAGGCATTGGGTCCCCTGGACCTGGAGTTACATGTGGTTGTAAGTTGCCATGTGGGTACTAGGAACTGCGCCCGGGTCCTCTGTAAGAGAAACAAGTGCTCTGAACCACTGAACTAGCTTTCCAGTCTCTCCCACCGTATTTTTTGAGACAGGGTCTCTCCCATTGAACCTGGGGCTCATCAACTTGGTTAGACTGGCTGACCAGACAGCCCAGAGGTTCTCTCGTCTTTACCTCCCCAGGGATTATATCATAGGTGTGTATGATACACCTATGCCTAGGTTAAAAGAACAGTCTTCATCTGTTTGCTTGTTTTTAAGTAGGAGTTTTAAATGTGAACTCAGGCCCTCATGCTTCCAGCAAACACTGTACTGACTAAACCATTTTCTTAGCCCCAGAAATTCCTATTTAAGGAAGAAAGAGAGATGACTATATGCACCCCCCAGTCTGTGTTTACCATTCCATCTGACAATGGACACTGTGCTATTGTGAGAGTAATGAGGGTCTGCGTGTACATTTTTCATGTCCAACTTTTGTTGGGTGGGGAGGTCAGGACACATTTCGGCTGCTAAGTGTATGTAGCTGCTTCTCTCCTGCCTCCCTTGCCTCCCCTCCTCAGGGCTACTAGCCACTCTTTTGGCCACAGTCAGCCACACTCTGCTGACTGTGCTCTCCCCAAAACAGCCTTCTTCAAGCCCAGAGGACACACTCAGTTTGTTCCAGCCAGTCCCCTTCTTTCCATAGAACCTTTTCAAGGCTCCTTGTATTCGAGCCCTTCCCAGTGGATGTTTACAGGCTGTAAACCTGCCTTCCCAGGGACCTCCATGATTGCTTAAATAAAGCAGAATGAGCTAATGGTGAGACAAAGCTATATTATATAAATGCAGGTTTATTGGGAGCAGCGAGGGAAGGGGAAAATGGGGAGAAAGAGCAGAAAAGGGCGACAGAACCAAGATGTCTGGGTTATTTAGTGAAGGGCCTCTGGGAGAGAAGCCCCACCCCTAGGAAGAGGGTAGGGTATGGTAGTCTCACTCTGCAGCAGGTAGGGACTTTCCCCCTGACCCAGATGTGGATGGAGGAACCTGGAGGCAGTCATAGCCAACATGAACATTCCACGAAGATGCTGTGGACAGTGTCAGTCTCCCTGGGAAGACATGCAAGTCATCTGCTTCCCCTCTGTCCCAGAAATCAGAGGAACACCCTAGGGTTTGGGAGACGTTAAGCTGATGAGTAAAGGACAAAAGACTAAAGTGTCTGAGACATGGAACTGCTCAAAGTTTGGAGAACAGTGTGGGTTGCAGGCTTTGGAGTACAGGCAAAGAGGCCTCTGTCTCCAGTGAGGCCTTTATGAAAGGAGAGTCTTTGGCCCGAGTCTTGCTTTCCTCCTCTGAACAATGGCTTACATCCATTCTTATAGCTTGAAATGGAGCCTTGAAGTTCCAAGTCTTGGGCTGACGTAGTTTTTCAGATATAGCTAGGCCAACATAGCCTTCCAGAACCTTCTAGTTTCTTGGCTTTATAAATCGGGAAAGCATCGCTCATGGCCTGATTACCTCCACCAGCACTTGGTTAGGATGCCAGGCAGAGAGGGCTGCCTCAGGCCAGGGAAACCTCCCCACGAAGGCCTGGGGAGGCTTTGGTGTTAGCTGTAGCTCCAGTACCTTCTTTGGTGATAGAGTAGTCTTCGCTTTAGAGAGTTGGGTTGTGAGATAACCAGGTTCAGGGGTCCTTCGCTGGGACGGAGGCTTGCACACACATTCACCCTCATAGACCGCTGCTTGATCGTGAGGTCAGATGCCCAGGACTGTGGGTCTTATTTCTTGCTAACTGTTCTATATGCCAGACTGCTTCTTTGGAGAGTCTCAACTTTTCTGCCTGTTACTGGAGTTGCTGGAGTCAGTCAGGACCCTGATGCCCCTTACAAGCTCGTCTCTGCTACCCATCACCAGCAAGTCAACTAAATGCCAAGGAATAGGGAAAAATAAAGAAAGGAGATTTATTTAACATAGCCACCCTGGGAGAAGCAACAGAAAAAGTCCAAGTGGCCTTCCTCAGTCCATCTTTGGGGTCTTGGCCTGAGGTTCAGGTTGGAATAGAGGTGTACACAGCCCCATTGTCTCAGGCCAGGTATATTCGTGCTCCACACCACTGTCTCCAGCTTCGCTGCAAGGTGGTTTGGTAAGGACCAGGGAGACAAGTTCCTCCTCTGGCTGGCAGCCGTCTCCCACCTTTTCCTTCTGTCAGCACAAGATTCCTGGGGAAATTCCACTTTCCTAGGGACCATAGTCTCCACAGCTGGATAGTCAAAAAGAAGGTTCCAGGTATATCTCTAGGATAATTTCATTCCTACCGACTCACACATCGCTAATGTAGCATTTCTCTGTGTTGGTGTGACTTTCACAGGGGGCAATGTGGATTCATGCAATGCTAATATTGGCTCCTCCCTGTCACCTGGCTACTTCAGATACCTGATTTATTTGTTAGGGGATCTCCAATGACCTTGAGAGTGTGGCTCAGGCTTGTGATCCTTACTTCACAAAAGCTCAGAGAGGTGCTGTACCTTCCTCAAGTCCATGCAGCCAGCAGATGGTAGAGATGGGATTGCAGCCCACCACATCGCCCTCACTGGGGCCAAAGGAACCTATTATAATATTATAATTGCCATGGGCTCGTCTCATTTGCATTGGCTTTGTGAGCCATTCTTTCATTAAAAAAATAAAATTATGCTTTATGACTTCTATGAATACAAGCCAATATTTCTCTTCTGGTGTTGAAAGAAATTGGAACATTTTAATGGGCTTCTGAACGTCGTGAAGCTCGAGCGCAGCGCCTAGGTGGGAAGCAAGCCCTTTGGCACACAGAATTGGGAAGACAGAGTCTGCAGCTCAAATGATCTTCTCTCTTTTCTTTGCCACAGTGCTGGTGGTGTCAGTGTACCCCCGAAAGCCTCAGGCTGTGGAGCGGCACATCCTTCCAGTCCTCTGGTACTTCCTGAACAGAATGATTGGCAATGGCGTGCTTCCCGGGCGTGGCGGGAGCGTCCGCACAGTGGTGTGCAGGCTGGCCAGGAGCCTCCAGGAGCAAATGGGGTCCCGCCTGCAGGACTTTGCAGCTAATCAACCCCAGCAAGTCCTCAAGACACTCCAGGGACTTTTAGACTCCGAGTCTCTGGGGGACAATGACAAGGTCAATGCGGGAGGAACATCCCCTGACAGCAAGATGGCTGGAACCACCTGCCCCCAGCAGCCGGATTAAAGATGGGTCTGAAATGGGCAATTATTATTTTTTACCTTATTTTATTTTTATGCTGTAGTCACCTCATGGCTACTTTTCCTCATAGGGTCCCCAATGTATATAGTATATTTTGAAGTAGAAATAAAAGAATGGCTTATTTTTCTAAGGTTTTTCTTATCTTACACTTTTTTTTTTTTTTTTTTTTTTTTTTTTTTAACCACAGAGAAATTTCTGGTAGACAGGTTTATGGAACCTGACAACAGCAAACCTAATTCAAGATAAGGTAGTAACAAATGGCTGGGAAAGGAGAGGGCCACAGATTGCAGGAATGCAGCCCCCACCCCACATCTGTGAGCAGCTGGAGGGTCCCGCTGCTGGCTCCCTCAGATAAACATGGTCTGTCTGCCGCTGACTTGGTTAGAAGTCATTGCATCACCCATCTTCCGGCCCATCATGCTGCAGCCCTGCAACATCTTGGGCTGTTCGTCCATGGTCCTTTCTCAGGGGATCTGCCCAGCTCATCACAAAGCAGGAAAAACCTGAAAAATGCACCACTAAATGCCTTGGTGGAAGTTGCCCTTCTGGCTTGTTCTGACAAGGACTAGATGGCACTTCATGTTTAAGACGGCAAGGGAAGGTGTGGTGGAGTCTTCAGGCTGAACAGTTCTCCGATGTCACACGGACTTTCTGAAATGGCACAGGCTGCTGCAGATGGGCTGGATCATGGGAGTGTTGGGCTCAGTGTGGGCCAGGTTGTGAGAAAGCAGAGAAAAGTATTAGTCTCTAATGAAAAGCCCGTGAGAGTCGTCTTGACCGTGGGAGGAGGGTCTAGACAGTCTTACGGTAGTTTTGGCTTTCCTGGACTAGTAACGTATTGGCAATAGTAACGTATTGGCAATGATATGACTAGGATTTAAGAGCTCAGGTCACTGCCTTGAACACACAGCCAGGCAGCTCTGACGCAGTGAAGGCTGAAGGGGTGACATTTCACCGTTGGCCAAGGACTCAGACATAGCACCATATAGGGGCAGGTCCAGATGGCGAAGTCGTGAGGCTCAATCTCCTGCCAGCTGGTTTTCTGGCAGGGTCTGCCTGCCCGGTGGAATTCCCCCCAGCCCCATCCATCATCTGGCCTCTGGGTTTGGTGTGAGTTCTACGTTGTTCTGAGCCTCTCCAGGGGAGCCTGGCCCTAAGCTAGGGAAGCTCTGTGCCAGGTGGATGTTGGCCAGCCCCTCCCATACTGAGTGGGTGATTGCAAATCAGGTTGGGGCTTGGCTTTTAATAGCTGGCTTAAGTGTGACTTTGGGTCATTCCAGAGCCAGCTTGAGCTGCTGTTCACCTGATGGTGACCCCAGCAGAACTTCCCGGAAGCCATCTGAATCTGGGCCAGGAGAAATACTTGCAAAGGAAGTTGTTCAGAAACAAAGAGATTGATTTATTAATCTTTAAGGCTTTATTCAATTCAATTAACGCTGTTTGCTTATTGTCAGAGTAAGCTTTTTTGGGGGTGTGTGTGTGTGTGTTGGGGGTGGCATGGGGAGACCTGTATTTTCTGCTTGTCAAGATCCAAGGAGAGATGAAACTCTTCCAAGATTCTTTGCAATTGTAAGCGCCCAGGAACTTAGAGGCTGACAGAGAGTTTTGAAGGCAGAAATGAAAGTTGACAGAGCTGGGAGGATTGGGCAGTGGCTAAAGCTCTTGCTCTGCTAGTGAGAGCTGGTGTTGAGATCACCCAGCTAAAGTGAGTGCTGGGTGGACATGGTGGTCCCTAGGCAATTCCAGCCTCGGAAGGTGAAGGAGCGATCCCCAGAGCAAGCTGGCCGGCAGAACAGTCATGTTGGCAAGCTCTGGGTTTGATTGAAAACCCCTGCTTCATTGAATAATATGGAGGGCCTTACACACACACACACACACACACACACACACACACACACACACACACAC